TTTTGTAACTCTGTGCATTTTTAATCACAAGATATTACCATTTTAAAATTTGTGTTCAGGTGATGCAATACTTTTGAACGCCACTGTATGTGAGCTTTGCAATAAAAGGGAGGAAACTCTAAAAAAAATTTTTTTTGAGTTAATGTTAAATTTGGACTTATTTTACAAAAAAAATCATAATTAGCTTAGAAAATAAAATTTTAATTTTTTTAAAGTTTCCTTCCTTTCTATTGCAAAGCTTCCATATCACTATCATTAGATTACATCACCACTACTAGATTATATCACCACCATTAGATTATGTTATCACCGTCATAATCTAACTCAAATCGCCAAAGCATTTTTGATATAATTATATCAAATATGCTCTAGCGACTAAATTATTTTTTCTTTAAAAATTTTTGTATTAAAAATATAATAAGAGATAATTATATTTATTTAATTTTAATTAAATTAATTAAAATTTTATTTATTAATTTAATTATTTTATATTTTATTTTAATGGCAAGTTATATTTACTTACATTTTTTTACATTTTAAATTTAAAGTTAAATATGAAATAATAATTTTATTTTTATAATATTATAGTTTAATATTAATTAATTAATTTTTATAATTAGATGCTGATATATCTGATAAATAATTTAATAAAATTATTATATTAGCTGAAATATTTGAAAAGAATTTGAAAATAATAAAAAATTGTGTTTTGAATTCTTTCAACTAAGAGATTATAAAAAGAAATCTCCATATATACTGGTCGAAATCAAAAAAATTGGCCATGTAATAAATCAGCCTAAAATCAGCCTAAAATTGGATATCATCAAAAATCAGCCAAAATCAAGCTATTCGATTTATAGCTGATTTGGTATATATCAAGAATCGACCAAAATTTGCCCGTCCGATTTCTAGCCGATTGGTATATATCAAAATCAGCCAAAATTCAACCTATGCCGATTGGAATACATTAAAAATCAGTCAAAATTTAACCATCTGATTTATAGCTGATTGGAATACGAATTGGCTAAACTTCAACATATTTAATTTATAGCTGATTGGAATAATCAAATTTATTTGATAAATTTGGATATTACTAATTTTATTAATGAAAAAATAAAATTCAAAGAAAATTGCATTTATAGATGGTATTTTCTATTAATAGAATTGATGGCCAAATATTCTTTTACATTTCATCGGGTTGAAATTTGATAGTTTACTGCACAAATTGACCCAAAATATAATGAACTGGTATAATACAATCACGACTTTTTGGGTAAAAATCAGTATCTCATAATTCGACATTACATATTTCTTCATCATCGTGGAAATAGTATCGAATATTTGGAGAACCTGCAGGTTTATACTAGCAAATGTATGCTAGAAAATGTTCAGCTGATCTAGTAAAATAGTATTGAACTTGACCTGGGTAACAATCAACTATGCTGTCATTTGTAATAAATTTGGCCGAAATGTATAAACTTTTCACATGTCACAATGATATCGATGAACCAAAGATTTCAGAACCAATTCAGCACCATCTGAATTGGTTATTTTGACCTGAATTGTTATAGCATTTTCTGAATCCTCATCGAATGGCTTCCAAAATTCTAACATACTATAAGTCGCCATGTAATATTCAACCATCAAATCAAGCATTTCACTTGAAAGAATTATATTATTAGATGATGGTTTAAGGAATTCGCCAGGAAATGTTTTACTACTAAAACATTCGATTCCCTAATGATTCGTAAATTCATCTAAAATCAGTAGATTTTATCAGTAGAAAATTGGTCTGTATCCGATAGAGAACCTATAGAAGGATGGTTGTCTAGCAATTTAAGCTCTTTTACTTCAATGCTACCAGAACTTATAATACTATCGATTTGACTATCAAACATTAATCGACGCATTAGCTCAAGTTCGATTTTTCTATTACTATTTGGCAAAGAACCTAAAAATTGTAAAAAAATGTTAAATTATTAGATATACACTAACCTACATTAAATTACCAGATTTATAATCACGTGATTTATTGCGTCTGTAATAAATTCGCGATTTCTCCCTAATGTACATAAAAATAATAAAAAAAATAATACATACATATTCTTTATCTTCTTAAAAATAGAAATGTGTGGAAACGAGCTGTCCGAAGCTCAACGTGAAAGAATTATCAGTGCATATCTGAGTGGTATCAAGCAAACGGTTATTTCAACTTAGCTTGGTATTCCCACTAGCACTGTCAACAATACTATAAAAAGATACAAAAAAACAGGTTCTGCAATACCTGAGAAGCGTCCTAGTCGTCCTAAAATACTTAATCAATGTAATAAACAGACCCTACAACGTATCGTTCGAAATAATCAGTTTGCTCTTCTTAGTGATATAACAAGCAGATTAAACTCTAGTAATGATACCACATTGCATAATAATACTGTTAGAAAATACCTTCATGATGAAGGCCTTGGTAGTTATGTCGCTCTTAAAAAATCCCTTTTAACCCAAAAACAGTAAAAGGATAGGTTAAAATGGAGTAGAGAGAAACGAAACTAGGGTGATGAATGGAAAAAGATAATATGGTCTGATGAGTCCAGATTTGCTCTTTTTGAATCAGATGGAAGAATAAGAG